CCGCCCCGCCGCTGCCAGGCCCTCTGCGTCCCAGACGCCCCGCCCCAGTCCTGCGGTGGGAAAGGGATTGACAGGAAGTCAGACGGGCGCGCCACGCCCCTCGCGGCGCGAGCCTACGCCGGCTTCCAATCAATCCCGTCCGTCCCCTCCTCGCGGCCTCCCATTGGTCTGCTCTTGCAGGGAGAGGGGGGCAGGGCCACGAACGCCCAGCCAATCGTCTGGCCCACCGCGTGCGCCTCTGGTTGCCCCAGGAAACCAAACAGCCGGCATCCCTGGTCAGTGGCTCCGACCCAGAGGGTCGAAGATGGATCGCCACTCTGAGCACAGTGGGAGCGTGGTGGAGGAAGGCGGAGATGTGGAAAGCCTGGCATCGCGGCTGTCCGAGAGCAAGGCCAGTTCTGGTCCCCAGACCCCTGCCGAACCCTCAGAGCCAGGGTCAGCTCCTGAACCCGGGCCGGAGGCAGAGACGGAGGGGACAGAGGAAGTGGTGACTTCGGAGGGAGGCGCCGGCGCCGCCAGCCAGCAGGCTGAGAACCTAGAAGGCCCGGCGGCCCCCGAGAACGTGCGGGCGAGGAGGGTCGGGGGGAGCCAGAGAGGCCGGCCGAGGCCGTAATTGAGGAGTCAGCCAAGCCCGGATCCGAAGTCGCGTCTGAGGAACCTGAGGCAGAAGAGAAGGAGGAGGCGCTGGAGGAGCTGGAAGAGGAAAAGGAGGATCTGGAGCAGGCAGAGGAGGGGAAGAAGGAAGCCTCGTCCCGGGCCTCTCTGGAGCTGTCCTCGGTCCACGAGGAAGAGGCTGTTTCAGCCCCAGAAGCCGAGAGAGACAGACTCGGGGAGGAGGAGGAAAAGGAGAAGAGAGCGAGCGAGGAACATGAGGGGATGGGTGGAGAAGACCACCTGGTGAAAAGTGAGGAATTGCAGAAGCCAGAAGGTGTCGACTCCGAGGAGTTTGAATGGTCCGAAGAGGTCCAAAAGCAGCAGGAGCAACAGCTGCGCAGCGAGCTGCTGGAGCAGTACCGCTCCCTGCTGGTAGATCGGAGTCGCTACCAGCGCTACAACTTGTACCTGCAGCACAAGATCTTTGAGGCGATTCGCAAGAAGAAGGGCCTGGACGCAGCCGAGGTGCCCGACAAGGGCGTGGAGACTGAGTCCCCAGAGAAAGAGCAGCAGTACTTACGCTATCTGGCCACTCTGGAGGACCTGAGGAAGCAGGAGGCGGACGACCTGGAGTGGTACCACCAGGAGCTGGGCCACCTGAAGCAGCAGTGCCAGGAGAAGCTCTCCAGGGTAGAAAAGGAGTGGCGACGCTTCCAGGCCCTCAAGAAGCAGGTGGTGATGCAAGCTATGGGCAGCTGTCGGATGAGGGGTGGGCGCCAGGCTGCACTGCGAGAGGTGGAGCAGATCCAGGCTTTGGAGGACAAAAAGGAGAAGGAGATAAGGGCCGTGCGGCTAGAGAACGTGCAACTGAGGCAGAGCCTGGTGCATTTTGAAACCAGGATGAGGGCCCAGGAGGACATGACCGAGGGTCTGCTCCTCATCGATTTCGAACAGCTTAAGATTGAGAACCAGACCTTCAACGAGAAAGTCGAGGAACGAAACGAGGAACTTTTAAAGCTGCGCAATAAGGTGACCAACAATGTGCAAACAGTAACACACGTGAAGGAGAAGTTGCACTTTATGGATATGGAGAATGCACACAAAAAGGCCAAGCTCTTGGAAGTTGAGGCTCAGGTGGCCCTGAAAAGGGACATCCTGACCAAGACCAAGCAAGCCCGAGACAGCCTGCGGCTTGACAACATCAAACTGAATCAGAAGTGTGGGCTTCTGGGCAAAGAATCCCTCCTGAGGGACTTTGAGGAACAGGTGGCCAAGAATGAAATGCTCCGCCAGCGGCTGGAATCCCTGAAGCGCCATCACGCTGGGCTGACTTTGTCCTGCAGAGGTGTGAAGCAGAAGATCAGGGAAGCCAAAGCCTTTCTCCCCTGATACAGTTGGTGAGATGAGTCAGCAGGACATTTCAGTCTTAGTATACTTCGTCCTGCATTAGCTTTTCATCTCCTTTTTTTTTTTTGCCATTCATTAAAAGTCTGTGATATTTGGAACGGAACTAGATTTTCTATTTGTCTCATATTTTTTTAAGTTCCAAATTAATACTGAGTAAAAACTTGGGTTATCAGTCGGTTTTATATGGGATTAAGTGAAATAGGTCCAGAGAAACAAAAGGGAGCTGGCCAGTAGTGTGGTGGTTAAGGGCACTGGACTCCCACATGGCCAACTGCAGTTCGAATCCTGGGCCTAGCAGCTTGCTTTCTCCCTCTCTCTCTTGCTCTCTCTTTTCCTTTCTGGTCAAAACTTTAAAAATAAGTAAAGATAAATAGAATAGTTCTTTATATAAATAAAAAGAAGGGCAACACTGACTTCTCATGAACAGGTGTCATCTTTTTATCAGCTATTTTTTATAAACTCAGTGCTTGAAACTTAGGAGTACTGCTCTTCCATATTTAAGAGGGCTTAAGGTTCAATGGGTGGGGTAACAAAACATTTCTGTGCACTAATTAAATTATCTTTGGACTTACTGTGTAGTCCTGAGTCACTATCTCAATGAGAAGTTCAGTCATTCCCTAGATTAATCTTAAATTGTCTTTTACACAACTACATTAGCTTCTAAGATAATAATTGTAAAACTCCAGTAAACAGGAAAAACTATAAACAGAAAAAGGAGCTGATGTTCCTTCATCTTTCCTTTTTCAGTGGAAGGAAGCTCAACCCTTAATGTTTGTTTCTGCCTCTTTGGCAGTCTTCAATTCTAAATGAAACATTTTCTTGGCTCCTCTGAAGAGATGCACTCAATACGCACTCCCCTAAATAAGTTTGCTTTTGGAGTGGTGGCTACTGACATGACAGAAGACTTAACCTTATGTTTTCAGCAGGCTATTCTTGGATTTGGACAATTGGACTATGCTATGTGTGTGTTATCACCTCTGTATCAAAATATTAAGATGTCTATTATTCCTTCTGTTCACGTAGAAGCACATGGCAGGTCCATTTCTTTAATGCAGTACCAGCAGTTAACTCGGGGCTTGGTTTTGCTTTGTTTTGTTTTTCATAATCTTGGGTTAAATTTGGAAATGTGCAGATTTGTGGTTAAAAGTATTCTTCTATTCCTAAACTTAAGCGGGTCATAAGAAAGATGATTTATATTTTGGTGCTAGATAACTGTAAGGAAGGGTAAAAACCCCACTCTGGCAGGTGACTTGGTTGGCTGTGAGAATATCACAATAACTTCATCTTTTGATGACGTTTTCTTTTTTCTTTTTTTTGAGAGGTTTTTGCTATAGGGCGCGTGTGCTTGCCAGGCAGAGACAGAGAGAGAGAAAGTGAGAAATCACCCCCCAGGGGGGATGGCCACGCCACAATCCCTTCTCCTCCATTCTCCTCTCGGGATCCTGGGCATGCATGCACATGCGCCTGGCATGAGTTTAAGCCACTGGGTCCGGGACTCGAACCGCGGTCAACTATGTGGGAGTCCAGTGACATTACACTAACTGCTGGTCCCTGATGACATGTTTTCTAAACTATATTTTCTTTGAAGCCAATAAAGATTAAATTTCCTTTTTTAACTTCCATAGTATAATGAGAAAAGTTAAAAAAAAAAACTTTGACTTATGGCCTCCATTCTCCTTATTCTATACAATTCTCGGCTTCTCTCTCCTCTGTTCATCAAGGCCAGAGTGAAGCAGTAAATCACCAGAAAGCAGAACTTTTGTTTTCTTTCTGCCTCAAAATGAAAGCAGTACTGGCCCACTGGCTTCTGTAGTTGGAGAGGCTTCAAAGTGAAATTGGCAGTGGTACTCCGTGTCTTGACTGAGCAAGTGGCTTCATTATAATGGTGTCCTTTATTTCTCTGGTTCACTATAGGGAGAAGAGGCATTTTTAACTGATACTGGCCCATTGGCAATTAGCTAGGTCCAAACACTCCCTCACCAGCCTTAAGTCCAGTGACAGGCAGATCTCAGAGTACAAAGATAGAAAGGAGATTGATGAGATTGGCAAGATCTGCACTGTCGTAAACTGCAAAGCAAATCTGCACTAAGTAAATGATTACATAGTAAGTTACCAATGTTCTCTGAAATGATAGTGTCTCATGCTAGAGATGTTGTAATTAATTAGAAGACAATCTTCTGATTACCTCTTTTTTAAAAAATGAATTATTTAAATTTATTTTAATTTTTATTTTAATTTTGACCAGAGTGAGAGAGAGAAAGAGACAGGGAAAGTGAAAAAAAAAAAAAAGACAAGTCGTCTGGTCTGGGACTTGAGCCACGGCTGGCCATGTGGTGAAAAAAGAAAATAAGGCAAGTTGTCAGGTCTGGGACTTGAGCCACGGCTGGCCATGTGGGAGTCCAGCACCCTTAACCACCACGCCACCTGCTGGCCCCCTGATTACCTCTTAGTGTGTTTTTTTTCCCTAAGTTGATTTTAGGAGAGTGCTTAATCATGAAATAGCAACAAATTCACCTGTTTAGATGATTTCTGAGGAATAATTGAAAATAAGGCAAGTTGTCAGGTCTGGGACTTGAGCCACGGCTGGCCATGTGGGAGTCCAGCACCCTTAACCACCACGCCACCTGCTGGCCCCCTGATTACCTCTTAGTGTGTTTTTTTTCCCTAAGTTGATTTTAGGAGAGTGCTTAATCATGAAATAGCAACAAATTCACCTGTTTAGATGATTTCTGAGGAATAATTCCACAAACCCAAAAGCATTCTCTATCCCCAGTCTTTCTGAAATGCTCTTTGTGTCCCCGTAGAGGCCCATCCACCACAGCCTTTGATCCACTGCTTGACGACTGCTGTAGTTATCTGTGTCCCGATGGACGCCGTCCCTGAAAGCACAGCATAGTGCCTGTCACATAAATGGTACTTGATGAATTCGTTGGAATAATACATTCACATGATGCCAATCCCATGTGCTCCTGAAAATAAGTGTTATTTGAATGCCTATCATGTGTCAGACACTGGTAAGTCCTTTAGTCAAAAGTAATTATAGGCAGACAGTGGATCTCTCAAGAATTGGAACCACTGAGAGAAAATGGCAGGGAGGCGGACTTGGAGTCAAAGTAGACAAACACTACAGGTGCAGAGAGCTGTCCACTCCAGCAGCAATGGGCTCCACATGCTGGCAGCTGGGCTAGAAGCCCCTAAAACTCAAGTTATTTCTATGCTAAAAGCAAATGTTAAAGACTTGTCTTCTCACCTCCTTGTCAAAAACTATAGGCCTGAAAATCCTAAGTACTGAACACATTTTGAGTGAGATGTTATATGAAATCAGACTTTTCTTTAAACTGGTATGAATCAGAAGTGTCCTCTTCAACATTACAGGTTGTGTTTTAGCAGCACGAGCAGGACTAAATTGGGCACCTACCTAGACAGCTCAGCCATCTAAAAAGGAAACAATTTTTCATGGGTAGCTAAAAATCAATCTTTGGTGACTTGCCACATTAAGATTTTTTAAATTATTTAAGTGGATGTGCATGTGGTTTTATTTTTTAGTTTTTGCAATAGGGTGCATGCACTCATGAGAGAAATAATCACCACGGGGATGGGGGCGGTGGCCGCACCACAGTCCTTTCCCAAATCTCTTGGGATCTGGGGCAGGCACACCCATGTGCCTGGTGTGACTTTTAAGCCGAAGGATCCGGGACTCAGCCATCTGGGAATCCAGCCCAATCACCACACCAGCTGCTAGCCCTCCAAGTGCATTTCTAAGTACTCAGTTATAAAATGGAAATTTTATTTATTAAAAAAAAAGGTCAGAATATGAAAATAGCTTCGTCTTTGGGTGATAAAAGGAATTTTTAAGAATTTTTCTTTGTGCTTTCCTATTCTTCCAAATTTTATACAATAAACTTGAAGGGGGAGGGATCTCAATTTTCTTTTTAATTCATAACTTGAAGAGTGTATGATCCTGAAAGTTTACATTTCATGAGCATGAGTCTAGCTACTTATGGCAAAATTTGTTTTTGTTTATTTGAAATAATTAGATCATCTTATTTTTGTTAAATCTTCATAAGCCAGTGAATAGGGGTGCAGGGAATTTTTTTTTTTTTTTTGGAGAGGTTTTTCGCTATAGGGCATGTGCGCTCGCCAGACAGACAGAGAGAGAGACAAAGAGACAGAAAGCGAGAAATCCCCCCCCAGGGGGGATGGTCGCACCGCAATCCCTTCTCCTCCATTCTCCTCTCGGGATCTTGGGCACGCACACACACGCGCCCAGCGTGAGATTTAAGTCACCAGGTCCAGGACGCGAACCGTGGTCAACTACGTGAGAGTCCAGCGATATAGCCATTACGCTAACTGCTGGTTCCTAGGAATTTTTAAACCTTTGTTGACAGGAAAGAAAAAGGAAGCTTCGAGTTTCTAACTGGCAATAACTGGCTACCAGATTTAACTTGAGTCCTGTTCTTTTTTTTTTTTTAATTTCTTTTAGATATTTGCCATAGGGCACATGAGCTCACTGGGGAGAGAGAGACAGAGAGACAGAAATAGGGAAAGTGAAAAATCATACCCCACCCCACCCGGGGAATAGTCACACTGTAATCCCTTCTCCTCCATTTGTCTCTCAGGACTTTAGGTACCCCTGGCACCTGGTGCCTGGCAAGATTTTCAGGCTGCCAGGTCTAGGACTTGAACTGCAGTTGGTCATGTGGAGTCCAGCACCTTAACCACCATGCTACCTGCTGCCCTCTCCCAAATCCTATTTTTAACATCTAACTACCTTGTTGAAAAACCATATATATGTATATTGTATACATCATGATGGAGACTTTCTGCAAAATGTGAATTTAACCTGAGAAAGAAAAATAAGAGGCAAAAAAATCAAACCACCTTAAACGAACGTGGTTTAACTTTTGGTTGGACCAGCTTCTTTCTACCAAGAGCTCCAGAGCAGGAGCAAGAAGCTAGAGGAACAATATTTAAGACAAACTTCATATCTGGGGTCCCAAATGATGTCTCCAAGCCTAAGCCCAGGAGTAACTCATTTTGCTGTAATGTTTGGGGAGGAAGTTGTTCTCAAAAGCCCACACAACTCAGGCATCCTGGGAAAGGGGCTTTGGTTGGCATGGCCTAGGGCAAGCAGGCGCTGCACACAGACAGCACAGAGCAGGGCATGAGCTAGATGGTGCCCATATACTGGCAAATACCTGGGCATGCTAGGTCGGGGTAGGCAGGTGAGGGCAAGAGGCACATAGCCAACATATCAGTACATGTATGATACCACATGAAGCAGACCAACCAGTTTCCCAGAGACCCCTAGAAGCTCCCCCACATCTTAATGTGCCCCACCTGGTCGGCCAGCCCCTGGCTCACAGGCTTCCTTTGGCTGGGCACACTCGTCTCCTCGTCCATCGGCTGACCAACATCTCATCTGAAAATCCAGCTGTCGCCCTGCCTCCACACGGCAGCAGTGCAGTGTCTTGCTCCCTCTTCGTGCTTTCACGGTAGGCTCCATGCTCTGGGCGGTGGATTTTGAACGGTCAACCCACTCCGTGGTTGTAAAGCACTCAGGGAACAGGAGTTCCTGTTGGTGTGTTCATGTACAAGGCTTCTCCGTGCCCTCTCTAGGGAAATCATCCCACTCGTAGCTTGCCGGGCCTCGTCTGCACAGCCGCTCCATCTCCTCCCCAGCAGGTGTGCAGCGTTGCCCACACAGGAGCTCCAGTGCATCAGCGGATCCAGGCCTCGGCCTAGCCCCTGCGCTTGGAGGTGAGGCCAGAGCGAGGGGAGTTGGGCTCTTGAAGGCCCTAAATCAAGCATGCTTCTGAGTGAGGGCTCAGGAGTCACAATTCTGCCACTAAGGACAGCAGGACCTGAACGAGTCACTGTCATGCCACATTTTAGAAACGGGAAAAGCTCCTCTCCTGGCAGAGCTGCTGCGGAGATGGAATGATCGCCGCTACAGCAGCTGGCCCGGCGCCTGCCAACAGGACTGCTATGGACCCTCAACCCCGAGCTCTCCCACTGCACCCCACAGCCCAGACGAGGACGCAGGACAGCAGGGCACTGTTTCTGAGCATCCAGCTGGGGGCGAAGGTGGCAGAGCGCTGCCAGTCACAGCACAGTCCCTGGGTGACGAAGGCACTGGCAGCGTCCACTCAGGTGAGAGTCATGGAGGACAAGTATAGGTCCTCCAAGAACACAGGGGACAGGAGAGAGCTGGGACTCCAGGCACAGGGCCCACTCCACGGCTGAGCCCGGGGTGAGTGGAATGACCACCTGGGTCTAGTGGCCCTGCGGATCCTTCTGTCCTGCACGCACCTTCGTGAGATGGCACCAGACTTCGGCCTCACTGGGAAGAGCCCGGCTACCATGGGTGGAGACAGGCCTCAGCACCTGCTCCTGAGGCTTCTGCGAAGGTTCCCGAGGGAACGCAGAGAGGCTCTGGCCAGCATGGCAGGGGTGTGGCAGGCTCAGGGAGTGAGTGGGGGCTGTGGCACACGCGGGGAGTGGGGGCACTGAAATCAAGGTAGGGCCAGGTCTGAGTTGAGGTTGCCCTCCAACTTGGAAGAGGTGCACCACACTCGGAATCCCTGGACCTAACGATCACAACCACACCCTGTTTAATAAGCCTAACGAGGACCTTTTAAAATATTCAAAAAGTCCAATTTTTTGCCATCCTTTGAAGTGAGAACTTCAACTTTAAACGAAGTGAATGGAAATAACAATTTTACATGACTTTTATTTAATAAAACCACATATTTACAATTCAGAAAGTCCTACTTTGATACACTTTACTAAATAAAGTTAAGGGTTAACTGTACAGCAATTAAAACATGATATGTAGCAAGTGTTATCAGGAGTTTTCTATCAGTGAACTATTGAAAATAGTCAAAACTGAGCATTTAAAAAGTACCTTTTGAAGTGAACATGGTTTAAATGAGATTCTAATGACTGGTGGGAGACGCCGCTCTCAACGCTGCAGTGCAGGCTGCACAAATCCCAGACCCAGAGGCTTAGACCCCAGAAGTCAATGGCATGTGACGTGGCCCGTGTGGCCTTCGAGGGCGGTGGCATCCTGGTGTCTGTTTCCCGTTTACCTAAACAGTAAGGATGAGCAGAGAAGCACGGCTCTGCATCTCTGGCGGCCCGAGAGAGCTCGCTGGTCTCTGAGAGACCGCATGTGATCCCCGAACAGGTTGTGAAAGCCTCTTCTGAATGAAAGATCGGGTAGGTACTCAAGAGTAGCACAGAATGCTGTTTAAAAACTTGGTGCACGCATGGTGCTATCCAGAGACATTTATGCCAAACCAACAAGCAGTGTTGAGAGCTCCGCTGTGAGTGAGTGTGAAGTTGGAGCATTCTGAACGAACTGCACAGGCCCCTTGTACCCTCATCTTCTGCACGACTTAAGGAACGGCTCTATGTACAGTAAGAAAATATTTACATCTTCAAAGGACAGAACACCCACGTCATGGAACGAACGTAAGTACAACGGCAAGGGACAACAGTGCAGAGGGCTTGGGCAGCCCACCTCCCACGGGGCCAGCTCCGTCTGGGTTACATTCAGCACCCTGACGTCAGGGAATGGCTAGGTCTGGAGGCTGCTGGGACCTCCAATGGACACAGAACACCTCCTCCAAGAGGCCAAGCGAATCAGCATCTAAAGGCTGAGGACAGAAAGTGAGATCCGTGAGGAGAATTCACTTAAGCATTTAAGGGGGCGGTGGGGGGGGAGAAAAGAGATTCCAGGGAAAACAACACACAGTGGCACAGAGCTGGAATGCAGAGTGTGAAAGTGACCGCTGACTGGCTCAAGAGCTTGCTATTGCACCTGGAAGGATCATTAGCAGGCATGGCAGATGTAGAAAACCTATAAAAACGATGCCGAGGTCAGGCTTCACCCCCACCCCCAGCCCAGTGTCCTTGCTGCATGCTATACTGTCAGAGCCAAAGACGCCCAGCACCAGACACTGGGTCACGCGTGGGGTAGGGACGGCTGAGGGCTGGAGCGCGCCAGCCACACCAAGGCACTCGCCACATGGCCAGTGTGCCCTCGTTCCTGGTCTGCTGACCACTCCCAGAGATCAGCACGCCAGTGGAGTACCACATGGGCACCTGTTTCTGTGGGTACCAGCCTGTCCTTTGGACTGTGCAAAAACTGTTTATTTCTACGAATTTGAATAACCAACGTTTTTATACAAAGTTCTCAAAATCAGGCAAGAAAAAGCTGGAACAAAAATTGCCAAGGAACTTGGGAGAATCCGCTGAAATCGGAAGGGCTGTTGGTACAGATATTCTGAAAAGACTGCCTGGCTGCTGAGCATGTGTTGCTCCCTCCTCCGTCCTCACAACAGTCTGGGAAACAACAGTTTAAAGCCAAATGCGTGGAGAAGGGATCACGGGCACTTAGGACGGATCCAGCTGTTCAAGTGGCAAAGGCAGAGGAACACTGTCAGAGAGCGAGGGAGCGAGGTCCCCACACGCTGCTGCTCCCACTGCCGTACCTTCTCCACAAAAACAAGGAGGGTGGGAGAGGGCGTGAGTCGGAACATCCTCTTTCCCAACCTTTTACTTAAAGGGGGCTACCTGCATTCTGTTTCCCAGCAGCTCTAAGGCCTTCCTTGCAAACAGCTCTAGCTGCCTGAAATTCTCACCTTTGCTCAGGAGCGACCTCTGGGCAGTATGCTACGCCCAGACCTCAACATGCATTTTCAGCCTTCACACCGTCATTTTGTCAAGGCAACATGGTAAAACGTCAACCCGAAGGTTGGGCTGGTTCCTAAGGAGCCCGTGAGCACTCGGCAGCAGGGACCCTATGAGAGCCCGTTTTCCTCTCGTGCTGTCTTTGGTAGGTGGGCTTTGAAAACGCGACCTCCAGCTCTGGAATGACCACCTCGATAACTAAGTCAGCAATCCCTTTCTCATCTAAAATACGTACATAGGAGCCAATAACATCTCCGAGACCTCCCAAATAACATTTCTCATGCATCTTGGCTAAAAAATGATTGTGATATACTTTCGGAAGTTGACATAAGAGCATTACAATTTAATTCGCTTTCGCTGAAATAAAGGGGGGAGGTTAGCCACTGCCCTATCTTTAAACCATGCAGAAAATGCAGTGGTTGGCCGCGGTCAACATCCAGTCATCGTTCCACTGAGCTTCTTAAGGCTAAGCCTTGGTTTAATTCTTTAGAAGTTCTGTTTTGTTTTAAGGCCAACTCCAGTGTTGGGAATCACACATGAAAAGCGCCCCTGTTCTTCTCAGCTGCCAGGATGAGCCCATAACACAGGAGCCACCTGGGGATCTGCTTCGGTGCCGAGTCCAGTGATGTCTGCGTCTGCAGCCTCAGTGTCTGAGGGACGGGCTTCCTTTCTCCATTTCCCGGCTGTCTTTCTGCAATGCAGTCAGGACCTAGGGACCACAGGGCAGGCATCTGCGGTTAATCTGCAACACGCATCCAACACAGAGACAGTAAAGCAAAAGCCGCAGCCTCCTACCAGTCTTTGCCTCCCCACTTCTGCCGTGCTCCGTCCTCTGCGACATCTACCTGAGCATCCAGTCATCTAACACAGAAACTCAACCATGTCATCTCTGAGCGAACATCAGCCACGAGACGCTGTCAGCGTACAGCTGGTGGTGTGGAAGGGCAGCAGGTGAGGTGGTTGGGGTGATACTGGACTCCTCCGTGGCCGATTATGGTTTAAGTCCCAGACCTGGCAGCTTGAAAATCATGCCAAGCACATGTACATGCATGCCCAAAGTCCTGAGAGGAGAATGAAGGCAAAGGGATAGCAGCGTGGCCATCCCCACAGGGATCATTTCTCACTTTGTCTCTCCAGCAAGCATATGTACCCTACGGCAATAATCTCTCTTAAAAAACAAAAATGTATGTGTGGAAGGGCGGTCTTCTCTCACTGTCTGGCTCTAGCCCCTGCCACAGCCACCGTGAAAGCCCAGGCTCCACTCCAGGATGTGAGCGAGCCCCAGCTTTTCCACCCAGCTGTCCCCGTGCCCTGCCCCTCCACTCCAGGACACCGTGCAGCCTTTGACCAGGTGTCGGCTCTCCTCATCAGCCGGCCCGAGCTTTCTCACGCGACTCTGTTCTCTCCTCTGAGCTCTCATGGTTCTTGGTTAAATTAAAAAAACAAAAAGCCATTCCATTGTGATAGCTTAACAACAGCAGTGACAATAAAAGGTTCCTTTACTTAGAAGTGGGTGAGCACTTCATGCCAAGTGCCTGCGGAACCCACACAACAACCTGAGGAAGGCTAATGCCCCATTCCATGCGATCTGAATAGTGGAGACTCACAGAAGTGACCTGCTCAAAGCTGAATTGCTTATAAACATTCAAATCCAGATTCGTCCGACTTCAAAACCCAGGAAATCTTGGCAATCCCACACTTATCTACCTAGGCCCAGCCACAACACCTCCACCACTGTGAGTCATAGATTACGAGGTAAAGCAGAAACATTCGCACAGAATTCAAATAAGCTGCCCAAAGGAAAGTTAGATAAGTCTCCCTGCACCTCTAAGTAAACGACTCTGCCAGCTAAACATACACATTTATGTGTTCTGTAAAAGCTCCCCACTACCCTAAATGCAAGCACAGTTCAGAGACTCCCTGGACCACAATTCCACATAAAAACCACTGATGCCCGAGCCGCCCACGTCCACTGCCACCAGCAGGCCATCTCCTATCCTATCCCATTATTAGAAAATGTCCTACTACTCAAATAGCCCCTGACCTGGTTTTTGTTTGTTTTGTGTGTTTGTTTTTTAATTTTGCAAGCAGGTACATCCATGCACCACAAAGAGAGAAAGAGAAAGTAAGAAAGCACTTCCCCCTGGGACATGGTCACACTGTAATCCCTTCCCCTCCATCTCTCCCTCTTTTGGGATTCTGGGCACACTTGCACACAGGCCCGGTGTGTTTCTCAGACTGCTGGGTCTGGTTCAAAATGCATCACTGGTCACGTGGGGTCCAGTTGCCTTATCCATCATGCCGTCATGGACTGACCCTTCCAACCTAGTTGTTGTTGTTGTTTTAAGAATTAGTTTATTTAACTTTATTTATTTACTTATTTTAATTTGACCAGAGAGAGAGTGAGAGGGAGGGAGGGAGGGAGGGAAAGTAAAAAAGCAAGCCACTAGGTCCCGGACTAGAATCGTGGCCAGCCATGTGAGAGCCCGAGCCCTTAACCACCACGCCACCTGCCACCGCCCCCCCAACCTAGTTTTAACCAATGCTTTTTATCTAGCTCCTAAAGTGCAAGAGGCAAAATGGCAGATCTGGGTTTACCCCCCGCCCTGTGTGTGTACTGAAGGTGTGCAGTGAATGAGTGTGCACTTGGAAGAGGGGCATGATAAATGATAAAGGAGCCTGTGTTTCTTAGGAAAGCACCAGTTAAAAATAAAAAGGGGAAAGAAAGGGAAGGGAAGACTGGCAGGTTTGCGACTGCACAAGCTGGCGTGAGTGAGGCCATTAGGAAAGGCCCTGGCTCTCTGCAGTTGCTTCAGAAAACCACTATACGCCACCGAGTCATGGAAGATTCCCAAGTCTGACCTCACACAAAGGGCCTGCCTCGTGAGCATGTGGCCTGTGCAGAAGCAGAGCCTGGCACTTAGAGAGGCTCTGAATGGCTGACTTGTGCTACTGTCTTGAAATTCTTCAAAATTTTCAAACATTTCCATGTGCATTATTCATTTATTTATCTATTTTTAAAGAATTATTTACTTTTAATTTAATTTATTTATTTTAATTTGACCAAAGGAACACAGAGAGAGAAAGTGAGAAAGCCAGCCACCAGGTCTGGGACTTGAACCATGTGGGAGTGTCCAGCACCTTAACCACTGCGCCACCTGCTGGCCCCCGTACCGCCCATTTATTTAGTAACCACAGGCTCTTTTCTCTCTTTGATCTCTGGTACTTACACAGCTTTATCAAGGTATAACTCACGTAGCATAACTCGCCCATTTAGAGCGTGCAGTTCAATGGCACAATTTTAGAACATTTTCGTCACCCCAAGAGGAAACCTCTGTATCCTTTAGCTGCCACGTCTCTACCTCCTCCGACCCCAGCTCAGGCAACCACTAACCTGCCCTCTGTCCCACAGACTCCGGCTCTGCGCCTGCATGTGCACGGCTCACACAGCACGTGCTCATCGCGATGGGCTTCTTTTCCTCAATATCAAGTGTCCAGACTCATCTGTGTTGCAGCATGAAGCAGTACACTTTGTTCTTTTTTTATAAACTGAGTGTATTCAATAATTTAAAAATACGACTCACACTACTCTAGGCATAACACAGTGTCCTCCGATGGAAACCAGGAGAGCACTTCATGGCGTTACCCCAGGTCACAGCACAGCAGCCCTGCTTCTTGCATACAGCCCAACAGGAAGGGGCTGTGCCAGCCAGTCAGCACGGAAGGGGGCAGGAGGAAGAGAAGGACGAGCCTGGGCAGCTGATCAGCAGGCCCCCGTGAGGGGAACGCCTCTCTCTGGTTGACAAGCAGAGGCACTGAATGCACACTATAAAAGGGTGTGTTTTAGTGTATGTACACATACCATGGTAAGTAAGTAATAAAGCTGTTATTAAAGAAAATGTGCTGCTCACTATAATCGAAGAGGAATAGCTTGATAACCTAGGAAGTACTCTGGCCAAACCAACAAAAATCTTGAAACCCAGCCAGCCACGGCGGCAGAGATAACACAGCACTCCATGATGCGGAGGCCACACAAAAACGCCCAGGTTCACATCTTGAGGTGTCTCTGTCCACACCTGGTGCGTGCACCTGTGATCCTGGCTAGCTGGGGCCGGGCCCCTCTTGGGGGCATATCTGTCTGTCTGTCTGTCTCTCTGTCTCATGAGAGAAATAAGTAAATAAGCTATAAAATTAAAAATGTGAAACCTGGTTAACGCCTTTAGATCTGAATATCAATGTGCAGGAAATAAAGAGGAACATGTTAAACAATACCATGGCCACGACTAGACAAATCCAGGTTGTGGGAAATGATCAATCTTCTTCAATAAGTAAAGAGAGGCAAGAAAGGTATATAATGGGGGCTAGTAGGTGGCATGGTGGTTGGGGCATTGGACTCCCATATGGCTGACCATGGTTCGAGTCCCAGACCTGGTAGTTTGTTTTCTCACTTTTCCTCTCTCTCTCTGTGTCTCTCTGGTCAAATTTAAGTAATAATAATAATAATAATAATAATGAATAAAATTCAAGAAGATAATTATTTTAAAAAGGAAGGAATGTAAAGGAAAAAAGTAAAACAGCAAATATATACATACATAAATACCCACATATATGTACACAGAAATATACATACATGTAGTTAAAAGATCTTTCATGCAATCAGAGTATATGGACCTTATTTGGATCTTCTTTCAAGACAAATATAAAGGCTATTTATGACGTTCGAAACAATTAGGAATTTGAAAACTGGGTTACCTCATGACAGGAAGGAATAACTAACATTTTTAGTGACAACATTACTGTAGTTAAGAGGCCTGGCTTAGAGACAGATGGTTTAGAGAGAGGTGCATTAACATCTACTTCAAAATGCTCCCGGAAGGGGAGTCGTGGGTGGAGTCCAGCTGAAACAAGGCACCAACAGTTACTGAAGCTGGGCGGCAAGCACATGGGGGACTGTTATTCTATTTTTGTACACATTTTAAACCTTTCATTAATAAAGTTAAATCAAGAACAGGCATTACTTGGCCCATAAGGGAAAGTATAAGCTTCCACAGATAGCCACCAACTCGCACCTGATACTCCCACAGATGGGGATTATATAAGGAGCAGGACCCGAGTTGGGGCTTTTCCCCCTATTTCCTGTAATATTGTCAGCTCAGCTGTTCTGCCAACAGAGCCGCTAGAGGGCCACAGCCACACACCAGGAGGCAGGAACTGGGAGGGCCTGGCACCCTCCTCAGGTGACTCTCGGGCCTCCTTTGTTACCAGTGGGAGGGGGACAGTCTCATCTACGTCAAGCACAGGGCATAGCCCACGGGTTAGGGCTCAGGGAGTCAATCGCCCCTGCTTTCTGGTGTTGGCATTATTTTTAAATGGGTGTGGGTGACTTGGTTTGCAAAAATGACTTTTAACACGTAGAGAGCACTATGATGGTAAAACAGACGTTCTGACCCTCCCAGTACGCTGCAGAGTAGGCGGGAAGACTTTATTAGCCATATCCCGCTCCAAATGACAGAACCCAAGGAGGAAATGACTTGCCCAGACGCCATGGGACAAAGCCAAGCCTCAAACCTGGATGCCCTCAATTCCAAGGACTACTCCCAAGAGCCCGTCCTCTCGGCACGCACTTCCAAGAGTGGCCCCTCAAGTACGCTATTGCGCCAATCCACCATGTGGAGGACAAGGGCCACTCACCTGGGCCCACTTCTTGTTCCGACTCTGCATCTGGATCGTAGCAATGGAGGCAAAGACCTCTTCTGCGGGCAAGTCCTCGGGCAGCCTGGTCAGGAACTGGGCTATGTGGATGAAGTCCATCTTGGTCAGGATGTCCTCGAACAGCTTCAGGATGCCCAGGGCCGTGCGGAAGAGGAACTCTTCCCCATCTCGACAGAACACATCCCAGATTCGACAGGCCAGGTCCAGGGGCAAAGATTTACTGTACAAGGTAAAGATCCTAGAGAAAAAGTAAGAGGGTTTCAGAATCTGGATGGTACAGAGAAAGAACTCTGGATTCCATTCTGAATCCATTAAAACCCTCCCTGACTCGTGTCACTGTCATGCACAGGGCCTGACGGCCAAACGTGAAATGACATAAAGCACCGCATGACTGCTCTCACGGAGAATCTCAGACACAACTTGAGAATTACCGACACTGCTGACTCCAGCTTACCACACACTTATCTAGCACTGACAGCTTATTCCGTGGTAGGTGCTGGATACATGGTAAGGAGACAGAGCACCTGACTTTACGGACCTCAGTGTAGCCGTTAACGGAGGTGGCCCCGTGAGGCTGGAAGCTACACAGCCAACCTGCTCGGCTTGAAAACATGCCTGATACACAAGTGGGTGCCCAGGAGTCTGAAGAGCTAGAGGGCTGGGAAAAGGGTCACGGCCTAACCGACCCCGCAGAGGATGCCGCCCGCTCATGCACACGTGGGGTGCACGAACTCTCCACCTTTAAAAGCGAATCTGGTGGAGAAAACACTAACGAGAAAGTAGCCATTCAGGGCACACATGCCCATGACTTAAAGAGTATTCTACACTTTCTTCCCAGTAGGGGTCAGCAAAGGGACAAAGTCCATTTCTCCCTGCGATTCAAGGCAGATAACAAAAACATGACAGTACACTTTAATGGTGCAAACCATCAGAAAAAAAGTAAAAACAGTCATGTGGTCCCTAAAACATGATATTCACAATCCAAACTACCTAAGTAATAAACCCTGAGTGACCAACTGTGTAACCAGGTTTAAACGCTATTTTTGGTTTTGCTTTGTTTTGTTTAAGGTTTTTGCCATGGGGCACATGCACTTGTCAGAGAGAGGAAGTGAGAAATCCACCCACGGGTGTGTGTGTGTGTGTGTGTGTGACCATGCCACAGTCCCTTCTCCGTTCTCCTCCTAAGATTTTGAGCATGCATACACACATGCGTGGCATGATTTTCAAGCTGTGTGTTCGGGACTCAAACCATGGCTAGCCGCGTGGGAATTCAGCGTCTTCACCACGCCACTTGCTGGTCTCCAGGTTTAAGCATTTCCAAACCAGTCTGTGTCTATGTCACAAGGTGAGTTCGTATGCAGGCCAAGCAGATTCTCTGTGAACCACCCTCCTACCTCAGCTGCCACGCTCGGCACCCAGCTCAGTTCCTCACTCCTGGAACCAGTTCTCAGGGCCCTGGGCTTCCCCATACCCTGCAGTTTATCACAATGCACTGTCCCCCACCCGGACCGCCCTCTTCATCCCCATCGTTAGCATCTAGGTGCCTGGCAACCTTTGCTGAGTAACTCCAGGGGGTGACAAATGCCCAATCTGCTTTAGGATTCCAGAGACATCAGTGTTCTTAGTACCATTCCTTCAGTAACAGTTCTCATTTATGAGTGCCAGTTCCCAACTGGGTAGGGAACATCCCCTATCCCTCTTGGAAAATCACTCTTCCACAGATCCCAGTAGTCTCCATGCAGCTCCAGGGACAACATGGGTCTGCAATCACCGAACCCCAGTGCTAGGCTCAGACAGGGCTGACTCTATTGGGAGATAATGCCATTAAACCTTCCACGGTCCAACTCTACTCTCCTATAATAGAGAAAAATGACACCATGGTGGTCAGTCTGAGCCTGGACCCCAGGGGCAAGGTTTTCCACCTGTAGGGAAGCCCAGCATGCAGTTCGCTCTAGAATCTCCAAGCACTCTTCTAGGCACTCTGCCCTGGAAGCACCCTTTCCCCCAGAACCCAGAGGACACACAAGCAGCACAGCACACAGCTGTGAATTAAGACCAATCGCCTCCGGGAAATCCTCTGGCAGAGCCTGAAAGCCCTAAGAGATCTAAGAAAGCATTAACAATTTAGATTTCATCCAACAGAGACGATGAAACAGGAAGACAGATGCCACAGAAAACCCTTACGTCATGAAAACAATAAGCCACGGAAGGCTGCTCTGTGCCATACAGCATCACAGACACCCCAGGGCATCCCTCCTCCATGACCTGACCACTGTGGAGATGGGCTCTTTCATCTCTTTTGCTGAGGGAACTGGGCCTCAGGATGGTTCGCTGAAAGGCCACAGGACCTACCACCAGGATGGTACACTCAAAGGCCACAGGACCTACCACCAGGATGGTACAAAGGCCACAGGACCTACCACCAGGATGGTACACTCAAAGGCCACAGGACCTACCACCAGGATGGTACACTCAAAAGGCCACAGGACCTACCACTAGGATGGTACATTCAAAGGCCACAGGACCTACTACCAGATGGTTCGCTGAAAGGCCACAGGACCTACCACCAGGATGGTACACTCAAAGGCCACAGGACCCACCACCAGGATGGTACACTGAAAGGCCACAGGACTCATCACCAGAATGGTTCATTGAAAGGTCACAGGACCTACCATCAGGATGGTACACTGAAAGGTCATAGGACCTACCACCAGGATGGTACACTCAAAGGCCACAGGACCTACCACCAGGATGGTACACTGAAAGGTCACAGGACCTACCACCAGGATGGTACACTGAAAGGCCACAGGACCTTCCACCAGGATGGTTCGCTGAAAGGCCACAAGACCTACCACAGTATGCGGCGAAGTCAGACTCGGTCCTGCTCCAAAGCCCACGTTCCAACACCCAGGCTACAGCACACTTCCTAAGGAAACACGCCGGCATGGCCTTGGGAGGAAACTTTAAGTCATAACAAAGCTTCATCCTGAGCATCTGACTATTTTAAAAACAGAAAACCATTTCATCACCCATTCTAAAATATATTGTTAAAGAAAAATCAAAGAAATCTCATTTCTAGTCTCAAACTAGAGAATATGCTCAGTTCTCTCTGGAGAATGTTATTGGTCTTAATGATCAGGCACACGTATGTGTTGAATGTATGTTCTTTTTAACATTATTTTTACAAAATGAAAAAAGAACTGACTTGATCCATACTCTTGCATGCCAGATCATACATGGGCTGTAAATCCCTTGCATCTTCTTAAGGAAAAAAATTATAAGAGAAATAGAATAGCTATAAGCAAAGAAGAAAAGATTTCTTCAATATTCTTTTTTTCCTTCCTAAAAAACTTATATAAAATAAACCTTTTCTTTTCTTATTTAACACAACATTCCTGGATTCAGATTTGTGTATCTCCATAAACTATTTTTAAGAGAGAGATTTTTGCTATAGGGCACATGCGCTTGCCAGAAAGAGAGAGACAGACAGAAAGCAAGAAATCATCCTCTCGGGGCGGGGGGGATGACCATACTGCAATCCCTTCCCCATTCTCCTCTCGGGATTTTGGGCACACACACACACCTGGTTTAAGTTTTAAGCCACTGGGTCCAGGACTTGAACCGCAGTCGACTACATGAGAGTCCAGCAATGTAACCATTACGCTATCTGTTGATCCCTCCATAAACTGCTTTAGGCTGGTACTGAACTTTCTGAAGTTAAGGTCCCATATGAGTGATCAAAAATGCCAGGCACAGTGTGACAGTGCTATCTGCTTATCCTCGCCACGATCCCAGGCGCTCAATCTCTCCATGAGACAAGTGGCTGAACTGACTCCTTACAACACTAAGAAGCTCAGTCCACTCTCCACGAATACTTCTTGAAGCCTACTAGGTGAGTCCCATTCTTTGGTAAAGAAGATACAGAGTGTTGAACAAAACAGACAATATTCCCTGCCCTCGGGGACAAAGGGGGATAAATAACACACAGTGTCAGGGGGTGACTTGAATAAAAGCAAGGGCAGGAAGTGTGGACTGCCAGGATGAGTGTACACACACACGCACTTCTAGACAGGGTGGTCAAGAAGGCCATTTCCACCATTTCCATAACGCCCTGGAGAGGAGGCAAGCCAGCCAGCTCAGGCTGTCCGGAAAGCATCCAGAACATGTTCACAAGTTCTGAGGTCAGAGCAGGGCCTGCATGGTCAAGGCATGGTGGAAGGTGGCCAGCCACTGGGGCAAAACACGGCCAGGGCAGACTGCATGAAGATGTCCGTGGGAGAACAGGGCCTAGAATGAGCAGGGCCTTCTGGGATACTGTAAGGTCTTTAGGTTTTATTCCGGAGTGGGAAACTAGCGGAGGGTCTGCTCAGAGCAATGTGCTGAGCAGGATACTGGGTCTTTGAGTAACTGAAAGGATGGCGATGTCATTAAGGAACTGTGTAATTCCTGGTTTAGACAGGAGGGCAAGGGTTGAATTCCTTTTTTTTTTTCCTTAAGAGAGATTGTTGCTATAGGGCATTTACACTCACTTGAGAGACAGAAAGCAAGAAATCACCCACCGAGGGGATGGCCAGGCAGCAATCACTTCTCTACTCCTCTCGGGATTTTGGGCATGACACACATGCACCCAGCCTTTAAGCAGCCAGGGCCCGGGACTCAAACCACGGTTGACTACATGGGAGTCCAGTAACGCAACCCTTATGCCATCTGCTGGTCCTAAGAGTTGAACTTTTAAGAGAAGTTAACTTGGCAAGGCAGACATCCAAGGGTATAAACGGAGTGAATTAGAGCTCAAGGCGAGGCTCCGGCGGGCAACACACATTTGGGAATAGTCTACGTAGACGGCACCAAGTAAAGGGCTGCAAGGATCAGAGAGTGATGATGGTCAAACGCTGCTGGAAATTAAAAAAAAAAATGGACTGCTCAGTGTGTACTTCAGGCAGAAAAGCATAATTATGCCTTTTGTATATAATTTATTGTTTTTTAAAATGTACTAAATTGGGAAAATTAAGAACTTGAATGTTTACCTTAAGAAAATGTGTCTTTTAAAGGAAAGTACTACAATTGCGAGAGGGCGCATGCACACACACTGTGCATGTTTTTCAAGCCTCTGGGGCCAGGATTTGAATGACAGGCAGCCCTGCGGGATCCAGCTCCCTTGACCACTATGCCACAGAGCCATCCCAAAATATATTCTAATTTACTATTAATATTACTCGGAAGGGCAAATCACAGCCG